AACTTTTTAGGTGCGCCCATTGACTATTTCACGGAGCGAGTATTGCATTCATTATGAAGCATTAATTAGTCCTTTCCTTGCGGAGGCTTTGCATTTTTGAGCAAACTTGGATTCGGATTTTGACGCATTGTGTAACTGACGCGACCGTGTGTCGCGTCGTTGTAAATGAATTGAATGCGTACTCTGACGGGAGGGATACTTCAGTACGGTCTTCTTATAGAAGAAAAAGTGACACCAATCACCAATTGTTGATACTGAAATACCAATTATTTTCAACAATAAAAAATTGAAATTGTAAATTTAAGTTGATTTTTCAAATGACATTTTAGGACTCGCTTTAAAAATTCTAAAACTTGTGTCTATAAGTTATTTTTCGGATAACTTTTTTAACGGTGTCATAATAATAGTGTTATACATGAGCAGCTTATGTTGCTGATTTTGTTGGATTTGCGTTGGACTGGAGAGATGCATTCATGCATTCTAAATAATTTACTTGACAACCTACACGCGATTCAAGCTGATTTTCTTTCCCAGCGAATTAATCATCAAGAGCAGGTTGCTTTTAATACCAATTCATTATATATGCTAGAAGTCTCAATAATATTCCAATTAGCATTCGAGTAAATGACGGAACTTGATAAAATATTATTATTTGTATTATTTTCTAATTAAACAATATAGTATGTGAATATTCTATTTATTTTAAAAATAAATGAAATTTACTTTATAATTTTAATAAATAAAAAATCGGAAGCTTTGTTGATTTTCAAGTACATGCTATTCGTATTACCTCTTATTGTTCAATTTCATTAACAATTTGTTGCATTTCGCACTCTTTGAATTTAAGTTATCTTTTTATCTTTTTTTCATTATCTTTTTTCTTCAACCCCATTCAACTTACAAACAAAAAAATCATTAAATTTCCTGAAATGATTTAATGTTTGCGGAAAAGTGGTCAAGGTTTATAGCATTAAATGTGTTACGGTCGGCGGTAGATAGGACGCTTTTGATTATTACGAACAGGTTAGTTGTTGGGTGGGAACGATAAACAGTAGAAAAGGAAGGAGGAATTGGAGGAGGAAGGATGGAGTAGTAACGGTTTGTTTGTATGTTGCAGGTGGTGATGGGATGGTGTTGTATGGTGATGGTGATGGGAGAGTTACAAGGGCACCACAATTGGGGGTTGGTGGTCATAATAGTGGTGGGGAATCTCATCCTCCTCCTCCTACTCCTCCTTCCGTTTCCACTCCGGTGGGTACCTTCACTCCGCGTCCTACGGCGCATCCTTCTGTGTCTGCAACCGTTGCGTCTCTGTCGGATCCCTTCACTCCGCGTCCTACGGCGCATCCTTCTTAACATTTGACATAATAATGCCTTGCAGTGAGTCACCTGTTAATTAAAGAAGTAGACATTGTGTAGACTGACATTAGCATGTCAGTTCCAATGGACTAGAAGGTTCTGCGCGTATGATAAGGTATACTGATACAGATGCCATATGCATTAGGTACGTAATCTAGTTTTATGCGTATTATGAGTTTTTATGCGTAATTATAAGTTTTTATGCGTAATTATGAGTTTTTTATGCGTTATTATGAGTTTGGCCTCTTTGGATGTTTTACATATTTAACCTGTTTCGAGTTGCGTACAGCGATAGAAGTTTTATCGCACCAACTACCGAGCTGAATATGAATATGTTATACGGTGATACGGAATTCTCAACTTAAATATTCAAGATGTTGAGCATTTAAATAATGACTTGTTTGCTACATTATTTAGTTATTTTAGAGTTGCACGCTTTTCTTTTCGCTTGTTTTTTCGATCGGTATTAATCAACTTTTCACTATATAGCTGTATAGCATATACTTGTTCTAATGTAATCGATTTGATGCACATTTAAGGGAAATTTTGCATGAATGTATATACTAGAGACCCTGTATGTCATTCTTTGCTGCATCTTTTTATAGGTGAAAATGAACTTGATGTTTGTCAAAGAATATTTCTAATTTGAACTTCCGTAGATTTCTGCCCCGCTTATATAGGTGAAGCCTGTTAAGGATTCTGCAGAACTATTCTCAGTTTTAGTTCTGCATAACCGATTAGTTCTACAGAGCAAAGCTATTCTTTTCTAATGACTTTTTAAGCACTTCAATCATTCATTATGAAGGCTTAAAAAACTGTTGATACTTTATTCGCTGCTGTGTCTTTCACTATCGGTGCTACATTAAAGTTCATTTTACGGATAGCTGTGATATGAAGGATGAATTTGTATTGCAATATTCACAATAGAAATGTAGAATGAACAAACATTTGGAATGAATGAAACGTTTGGATTATATAAACAGGTTCCATTAATCAGCTTACAAAATCCCTGTTAATCGGGTTTGTGGAGGGGTAGTCTCTCGCAATTCAAATTACCTATTAAATGTTCTTCGCCATTGTAAATATTTTAGCACTTCCAAAAGTATAATAAGAATGTATTGTCTGTGATAACTAAGCCTCTGTGCTGTGATTCGCGTTTATATTAATTAGGTGGCTGTGATCTTGTTTGGATGAATATACTCGACTTCTTGCGGGAGTTACTCGACTTTGGATGAATACTTGATGTTTTGCTCGTGTTACCTGCTGCTGAGTGAATACAACTTCACTGTTATAAAAATTACCGTTAACGGTATACATTACCGGCGTTTCAGTGGCCGGTCGGCACGTAAAAAAAAACACCGTGTCGCCGTTTTTGTTCTAATTTAACACTAGAAATCCGTAAAACATCTGATAAAACGGCGAAACAGTTTATTATCACGGGGCAACCGGCCATTATATAGCTAGAACGCCAGTGGGACCGTTTTTCCACCGTTTTTTCTAACAGTGTTGTGTTCCTTCGTTTGTCCGAATTGACAATTTTTAGAGTTGATTTTGATCCTCTTCTTTCTTTATTCGTTGTTGAATAGTCTTCTAAGAGAGATTTAGAGAGAAATGGACTGTGATATTGTACCGATACTAAATTCTATTTTAAATATGCCTAGGTAGTTGTCAGATGCACTGCATCATAGATTTATTGTTGTCGTTTTTCGACCAAAGATGAGACCTTTTTATGATGTCTTATTTTCTTCAATTTCAAGATAGTAATTCTTTACTTACTGAGATATTTAGTGAAGTTTATCTCCTATAAGATTAGTGATTATATGCAAAATGATTTTACTCGTATGATATCTGCAACAGACATTAAAAATCATCATGATATTTTTTGAGTGAAATAAGGCATTTTTGTTGATATTCGCTGCTCTGATATCAATTTTCTCTATATCTTTAGTGCGAGCTTTGAAATTGCAGCTTTTGCATGCATGTTTGTGTTGAGCAAAATATCTGACTTCAAAATATGCCTATATCCAATTTTAGAATTCTCTTCTAACATACAGTAATTGTCTTTGGTGGTCGGATTTCAACGTTTCTTTTTAAACACGCGGCAAAGCTGTCCAACATTTAGTTTAATTATCTGGAAAATTGACTGTCGTTAGGGGAAGTTTTGAGTACTTTCTTCGTTGGGACTTGTTTTTAATTTCGGTAGCTAATTCAACCTGATATCCTGGTGGTCTTTTAACCGTGGTCTTCATGGATGCGTTAAGGTATAGTATGTCTCAGCTTTTGCAGTTGCTCCCTCAATACATGCTTTCTTATATTTGTGTTTCTTTATACATCGTCATTGTCTCGTCGAGTCTTATCGAAGTCGTCTATCATTGAGATGGTATGATCTTTCAGTCAATCGTCTAACATTAATATAGAAACATTCCAAATAATGTCTGTTAAAACAAATTTCTCATCACTGGAGACTGGGCTGAAAAGCACCACATTCTATTTCAATGTTGTAAACTATGTTAATAAGGAGTAAAGTTTTTAGTGTAGTGTAGTTTAGACCTCATCGCTTCTCTGCAGGTCGACAGAAGCTTTATACTTCGGCTTGAATTATTTCGATCAAATCAAATTTCTGTTTTATTTTATATTCATCACTCCTGGCACGTTCCGGTAGGTGCCGATTTGAATACAGATTTATATTATTACAAGCATCTGAGGTCAGATTACGAGCCACTATATAAATGGCCTATTGCAAGCCACTATCTGATCGATTGTTTGCGACTAGATGGCTGATTACGAGCTAATATGTTGCCAATTACGAGCCACTATATGGGGTTTATTACGAGACACTATGGGGTCAATTACGAGCCATTATGGACCCAATTACGAGCCATTATGGAGCCAATTACGAGCCACTGGGGCCATTTACGAACCACTATGGGGCCAATTACGAGCCATTATGGAACCTAATACTAACCAATTTGGAGCCAATTACAAGCAATTGTGAACCCAATGACGAGTCAATATGAAGCCAATTTTGAGGAACTACTATAAAGTCTACTACGATTGTCTGCATGAACAGTTACGATCACTTACTGATCTTAGTCTTGAGAACTGTTAGTGCCCGGATATTCTCTTCAGGCTCAAGAAGACATTTTTCAACAACGGCGCTGGAGGCGATACTTGAGATCGGTACTCGTACTGCGTTAAACTCTCCGTAATTTCCAGGCACTTGGCCATTACCTTAAAAGATATTGACTAGTTTTTCAGTTTGTGATGTTGGTGTGATGAAAAACAACAGCTATCTAGTAGTATCGCCATAATGCGGTTGGAATTGTATTATTATTTAAATTATTATTTTTTTAATAATACCTGTAAATTGTAGATATTATTATTCAAAATGCAGTTTTTATCTCGGTTGCACAAACCGTCGTTAGTCTTATTCTTATCTACCGGCCTAGTAATCTAGCATTTTTCCAGTTGAGGTATGAACTTGATTTGCGATCAGTTTAGTCTTATTCTTATCTATGCCGGCCTAGTAATCTATAATTTTTCCAGTTGAGGTATAAACTTGATTTGCGATCAGTGCTCACTTTGTATTCCCGTGCTCATTAACTAACCATGTTGCAGGTCTGGGTTGTGAAGGCAGCGAGCGAGGAGGCTACAACATGGAGGAGTTTCGCGGTGGCAACATGACGGCGTCTAGCAGCCTCATAGACCACATGGACTCGGGCAGATGTGTGGGGGACATTCGGTCTGGCTCTCCTCCTCTGCCCCCGAGCTCCCTCCCCCACGAGTGCCAGGTCTGTGGTAAGCTAATATCTTGTAGAAGGAATCTATGGAAGCATATGGAACGAGTACACCTCACGAACCCTGCTGTTAGATGCTCCATATGTGCGAAACTTTTCAAAAATAAGTACGCCCTCAAGGACCATCAGAGAATCTATCATGGAGGACTCAGTGAACCTTTACCATCAAGCCCCCTTCCCCATCCCCACCATCAGTCCCCAGCTAACCTTCTGTCTCGCATTCTCCGGGACACCCGTCCTTCCTGCCCTCCTTCCGTGGCTGGATCTCTGTCTCGGCCAAGCTGTTCCGTAGTATCAGTTAGTCCCTCCGGTTCCGTTGATGGGCGACCACCAAGAGAACTGGCGCCCGTGCCACACTCGCCCATGGAGGGCTTACCGCCCTACCACAGACGCCTGCTCGAGGATGACGACCAGGGAGCAATGTACGGAAACTTGGAGTCTTCTCGTCTACCTCCGCCTCCTGCTCTGCAACCTCCTACTCCTGCAACGTCCATGCACATGAGCAGCACATCGTCCATGTCGTCAAGACGAGGTAGCGACATGCACGGTAGCTCATCCATGCTACGGCCTTCTTAATGGCGCGCATAGAAGTTAGGGGGTCGAGGACATCGCGCATGCCTTCAATCTGTCACAACGACCACGTCGAGCCCATGGCAAGCTTATGGCTATGACACTTTTATTCATATTTATTCGCTCATTACTTACGTAGTCGTCTGAGGTAAACGGGGCACTAGATATTTTTAGGTACTAATACATTACTACTACTACTACTTCTAGGTTAGATGATTCCATTAATACATTTATTTAAAGGTATAAGAGTCCATATATTGTGATAACATGAGGATATATTACGGTCTATTAACGTAGTTTTATTGAAAGCACAACTAATTTGATAGGATATAACGTGTGATAGAATGTTATGCGTTCCCAACGCAGCGGCACCAAAGTTACTAAACTGCCCGCCTCCTTTATGGTGCACACTAGTATTTTCGCCTATTATCACATTGTTTACAAAAAATAACTCTCAAATTAAATTTATACATCCGTGCCGAAATGTTGACAGTTAGGTGCATTTAACAACTGGATTACATACCACTGACTTTAATGTCATTGGTTTAGCTAATCTTCAGTTGCAAGATAAGCACGGTTTTTCCTGCCGTGATTATTTTCTCATTGCCGAGGAGGGCTTTTGTAACACTTGGCGCCGCAGCGAAGCAGGGAGGCATAACTGAGATCAGGAAAACAGGGACGAAAAACGTCAGAGAAAAAGATCGCTTCCTGCAACTTTTTACCTTGATGTGGGATAAAGGAAGCTTGATTTCAGAAAGATAGGTGGCTTAATTTAACTTAGTGTCGTGATAAGATAAGGAGGGTAGACGGTACACATCATGTTGGCAGTTGTGATCAAGAAGCTCTGTTCATTCCAATCGTGCTGCAGCTCTCGACACCCTCATCTGATGGACGTGAGCTATAAAATTCACCTATTGGTGTTGGATGCTGACAGCACTAAAATTTTTCACTATTGGCTGTGATATTGATGCATTACTCCTAAGGATAGAGTGTAAGTTCGTTGGTGCGAAATGATTGGATTGGTGCTCGTTCACCGAAATTGGTATACTTCCCGGTTGTTTCGACTTAAAGATGCGTTTACATTTCCGTTTTTCTTGCCTTCGGGCGCAAGTAAACTCGCAGAAACATTTCAGACCATCCTCAACGAAGAATTTGTTAGGTCTATTCTTCGTTTGATACCTGCAAAAACTGCACCTATGACATGACACACCAAAACGACTTCGGTAACACTGAACCCACTGACTGACTTCCCGATTTTTGGTTTAAGATTCATCATGGCTTTGTTCTCCAACAGCCAAGGAAGATAATCCTTTGCATTCAGAGTATTCATAATCGAATAATAGAACACCAAATGAGCTCCAGCGATTTCAAAATATTTTGTAAAACGTACTTACTAGGATCGTGTGTGTGTATCTTTCGCGCCCAAGAGTGATGTTGACTTCCATCTTTGTAAAAAATCAACACCAATTGGAAGATTTCGCGCCCATTTGCATAAAATTAGAACGCTGAGCACGTGCTAGAGCTGGAAAATACGTGCTCTAAGCTCACGTGCTATACTCTCAAGGTGATAATTCGATTTTTATTGAGTGAGTGAACGAGCTTTTAACAATACTATAGACCAGAAATGTTTTCAGATGACATCCGCAGTGTATCGATCGCCAATAGTATTTGTGCATGATTGGTGTTGGTATTGCTGTCATTGTTGTTGTTATCTCAGTGTTGCCATGCATGCTTGTTTTGTTAGAGGAAATAGCTTGTCCTTCTTCGACTAATAATGTTCAGCGACTCGATCGTGTTCCGTCTGTAACGCAACTGTCCACTCCGCTCTTGTGGACTTCTTCGTTGTGTACGTCTTCTAATGCAACAATCATGCCCTCTTTCCCATGTTCGGCTTTAATCACGTCTACAATTGGCTTGATTTCCAAGATTTTTTGGCTACGATAATGGTTTGTCAATTACCGCTTTACCACGTTTACTTCCATTCACCCAAGCCATTTTCCACCATGGGCCCCGCACTTTTCATGGACTATTTAATCCATATTGATTGTTGTACTCCTCTGACCCGAGTTTTGCACTTACACCAACAATTCGTTGAAATTTACTTCTTTTGCACCACCACAACCACCGACGCTCATAAAATTTTGCGCTCACCAATAATCTCATATTCCATCCTGTGATTAAATTTGTAAGTCAAAGGAGCAAGTCCAATAGATTAGAATATTTTCTCAGAATGCTGCTAGTGTAAACGATGGCGTTCGAGATTTTCTTCTCCAATTAGCGTAAGTAAAAATCAGCACCTTTGCTTTTTTGTGTGTTCCACCGTCTCAAGCATTGCAAGCACAGGTAAAAAAAAATTAATTTTTAAAAGAATTTTGCAAAACAGTTTTCGGGGAACGTCTACTTTACTTCAAAGCGTGAATTTCGGGATACTCCAATTGAAATCACTAAATATAAGGTTAGCTCTCCGTAGAATAATCGAAATCGCTTGAGCAATTTGATCTGATATGAGCAACACCGTTAATCATCTTGGTAAAAATAATCATCTTGGCATTCTACTCATTTGGTTTCTTTTGAGATTTCAGTCGAAAAATAACGTCAAGTGAATCGTATTGTTAATAATGACGTTGGAAGCTTCGAAATCTTCATCGCCCTGCTACCGGGAATCGCCTTGGGAAGTTTAGGCACTCGAGTAAATAACAGATTGGACTCTCGGTCATCTGCCACACAATAAAGCTGTTACTCATTGTTCCTCTCGCTCCTAAAATAGGTTAGTGTCTCTTCCTTAAGAACAACTTCCCCCTTAAACAGAGAGCAAGCCTATACTTTCATTACAGTTGAAACTGACTACCGAACCTAAGGGCTCCCTTCCAAATAATTGAATATTAGGTCATATAACCCAAATGTCTCTTCCAAACAATTGAAGATTCGGTCTTATAACCCAAATGTCTCTTCCAAACAATTGAAGATTAGGTCCTCGAACCCAAGGACTTTCTTCCCCAAGCCCAGGATATTTGTTGCCGAACTTAAAAACCCCTCCCAAAGTTTAGAAGATTCCTCCCCAACCAGCGAACTGATTGGGAGCTTCAGCTTTCCCCTATTCGCGAAGGCTGTGCCCCTTTCGACTGTGATGTACTGAAGTGTGCTGTTGGTTATGCAGAGCTCTTTATATTTTTGATACTTTAGAGTATTTTGCGCAGGGTTCCTAAGTGTAGTTGATGGTACTGACGTTGTCACCACTATTTGCGATGGCTGCGTAGGCGTCGACATGTGGTGATTTCGATGACGTTGGTGATGTGGTGTTTCGGTGATGTTGGTGTTTTGGTGTTGTAGTGTTGCGGTGATGTTGGTGTTGTGGTGGGTTTCGGTAACGTAAATTTGTGTAGGTCCGCAGGACTGGATTTGCATGGTGTACCACAGCCACTTCTCAATAATTGAAGATAATTGCTAGAATTTATGGTACGGGTTGATGCGTAAGCTCCCTTTTACAGGAGCTTGGTATAGTCCCAGTAAATAGTTTACTAACGTTTATAGCGGAACACTTTTCTCGCGCCGTATGTATAAATGACCCGCGTACGTAGAGCAATGACTTAATAATTCTTTAAACTTATCCTCGCATTTGTCTACCAGTCTACCTGGATTAATTTTTAGAGCTGCGTGAACAATAGATTCTGAGTAGCATGATTCGCATCTATAAGTTAACCTTACTGCCAGGGGTCATACTTTCAAAACTCGCTAAGTGAACGTAAATGGTTACGCTCTATTTTCTTGTCTATGATTGGTGGATTTTGCTTGAAAAGCCGTCAATGATTGGCTGATGAACTTGCGATCTCTTAACTTTTTCTGAAAGTATAATCCCAGGAGGACACGATTGCCACTGTGACCAGTTGAACGCATACAACAGTTGACAACCAAGTTTTATTTGGCTTGTCTGAACTTACTTCTCCGACTTCTTCTTTCTATTATCTAATTCTTTCTCTTTCGAGCTTTAGAATATTTATATCAACCACTTGTTTCGTGATCTGTAAAACTCTACGTACGTATTTCAACTTTGCCTGTCTGAACAAATCTACTTCAAATAACCGAAGTTCATGGATTCGTGGTCAGACTGTATTAATTTTCATTTGATTGCTTTCAGAGTAATCTTTGAAAACCTGCATCTTATGTACGCATTTGTTTTTATGTATGATGCTTTAAATTTTCGCTCATTTTTTGACAATTCATAATTTTCGTCACCGTGTGTGTCGTCTCAGTTTAAAGGTCTTAACAGTCAAGTGAATGCCACAGGAATGTAGCGGTTTTTAAAGAGTTTTATTCAATTCACTGTTTTACGGGTTTTATACTGTTAACTTCTCTCTTATAATGCGTTTTATTTAATTATTCATGTCGGTCATCGGTGTTTTATCATTTTGTCAGTGGAAATCATTAATCATTAACGATACCGAAACGAGACGAGACGTCCCGAACGAAATAAGGGCTCTGAAATTCCCGGGAATTCGTGTGTTGTAAACGGACATAATTAAGGGTACGAAACGATACCTTCCTGTTACTACTTGTAATCAAATTTAAATATTGAATTTTTTACCATTTCTCCAAAAACATTTTGTCAGTTATTAATGTAACTAATATTTTGCTATGTAAAATTATATCGATAATGACATCAGAAACTAATGAATAATTTATAGTGTCACTGCCAGACACTGCGTCGCTGACAAGCGCTTGTGTCAGCACTTGATATTTGGAGCGCATTGAATCGTTAGGCCTTCTTTAGACTTGATTATTTGCGGGGGACCAAAACCGTTAAGTTATCAGAGAAAACCTCAACCACAATCTCATTTTGCCAGCCAAATTGCTCAACTGCTCGTTAATAATGAACAAATTATGTTGTTAATCCGTAATCCGTGCGTTCATAATTATTTCGTTTTGTATCGTATCGTAATGTAATGTAATATCATGGTCTCGTAAACGCTATAAAATGTCTGGTATCATTATGTTAACTCTCGTATTGTATCTGTTTAGTAGCTTTCATAATGTAAAGGATGTAATTTTCAAATTCCGCAACCAATTTTACATTGCGGTATTTTTTTTATTTCCGAACTCAGTCCGGGATCAAATCCAATTTGTCCTCGTCCCTTTATTTTTCCGGGACACGGCTCGTCTCGTTGTTCCGGTGGTGCATTTTTAGAGAAAAAATCTGGGACACTGAAACCTATGAGACAAATTAGTTCCAGGTATTAAATTCAAATTGCTGTCAGAGTTCCGTCACGTCCAAAGGATAATTTTCAGCTAAACCACGAATGGCAGCTTCTCGTTTGCGTTTATCTATTTTTTCTGACCTGTTCCTGTTATACCTTAGGTTTTATCA